CGTCAAGCAGTTGAGCTCAAAATCTTCCAGTTTTCTCACAAGGCTATCATGGGATACTAGATCAAAAGCGTTTTGGGAGTCTAGTTATATAATGTCTACCATGTCTCCTGTGTCCAGGTGGTGAGAGACCTGGTCGTATAAGGAGATGAGATTAGTAAGACAAACCTATCCGCGACAAATCCATGCTGGCTGTCATTCAGAATCTTACCTTCTACGAGTGTATCACACGTAGATTCTTTAATGAGCTTTTCCAGGATTTTCCCTGGGATAGAGGTGAGGCTGATTGGCCTATCGTTGCCTGGGTCCTCCCTCTTCCCCATCTTGAAGATGGGCACAATGTTGGCCCTCTTCCAATCCTCAGGAATTTCCTGTGTGCCATGAATTCTGAAAGAGCTTTGCCGGGGGCTCTGCAATGACCTCAGCCAGCTTCTACACCACTCTCGGATGGAGTCCATCCAGTCCTGCTAACTTAGAAATGTCTAGCTTTTCTAATTGGTATTGCACCCACTCAGCACCCACAGTGGGGAGGCTGTCAGTCCCAGCATGTCCCATATTAGCCTTATTCTCACTTAACTTTCCCCTTGGTCCGGTGAAATACGGAAGCAAAGTGGACATTCAGTTCAGTTTTTTCCTGAATGTCGGTTTCTAGCTGTCCTGAGGTGTTAAGCATGGGTCCCACACTTCCATTTGTTTTCCTTCTACTGCCTACATACCTAACAAAGGACTTATTGTCCTTGACATATGTAGCTGACCTAAACTCAGTCTCTGCCTTGGCTTTCCTGATCATTTCCCTACAACTGCTGACCACTGTTGTATAGTCCTCTTTAAGGACCATACCTAGCTTTCACTGTGCATACACCTCTTTTTTCTTTTTTAAGAGGACCACAACGTCCCTATTAAGCCAGGAGGGCTTGCCAGCCCTTCTGGTGCCTTTCCTTTTTGCAGGAATTTTTTTCTTTTGTGCTTTGAAGATCATATCCTTGAGCAACAACCACTCTTCATTCACCCCTTTTGCCTTGCCTTCCTGGTTCCGCATCGCCCCCTCTCCTAATGGTCTGAGCCTGTCAAAGTCAGCATTTTTTTAAGTCCAGGACTTCAGTCCTGCTGGGTGATTTGTTGACTTTGTGGCGGATGGTTAACCTGATAATTTCATGGTCGCTGTCACCCAGGTTACCTTCAATGTTCAAGCCAGATCATCTCCCTTGGCCAAGACCAAGTTTAGGACAGCATTCCCTCTGGGTGGCCCCTGCACATCCTGGGTCAGGAACAGCTCCTTGATCAGTCAGGAAACTGCATGAACTATCTGACCTAGCCAAGTGTTCCTCCCAATCTATGCCTGGGTATTTGAATCACCCAGGACAACCAAGTCCCTTGCACATGCAACCTCTGTCAGTTCTCAAGAGAACTCCAGATCCAGCTCCTCTCCTTGGTTTGACAGCCTGTAGTAAATGCCTACAGTTAGGTTTCTCTCACCTCGCCCCACTGTAGCTTGACCCAGAGGATTTCAAGCTGCTTATCTTTGGAGCCAATGTCAGCCTTCAGAGAGGTGTACTGCTTTCTCAAGTAGGCAGCTCTCTCTCTATTCTCCCTACTCTGTCCCTTCTGTGCAGGGTGTAGCCCTCCATGGCTACACTCCAATCATGTGAGGAGTCCCACCAGGTCTCTGTAATCCCCAAATGCTGAAAAACAAGAGGATGTAGTATTGCTACAAAATAATTTCAACAAGAACCACCCCCAAATCAGCGCTCTGTTATTAAAAGGGAATAAAAAGATGCATTATCCATCCTAGAACTTCCACATCCTTTTACTATTAAAGGATCATGACATAATATTTACCTATTGAGGTCTGGCACATATGAAAATGGACAGTGAACTGGTAATATATACCTTATCTTGTGTAGATTTTTCATTTAATACAGCTCTTTCCCCTAAAAACACAGCAAAGAATTACCAAGATGTTCATAGTTTTTATTCATAAATTGTAAGGCCAGAAGGGAACTTGGAAGATAATGGGGTCCAGCACTCTGCACCAGGCAGGAAAGACAAGTGGGGTCAGGTGACAAAATGTCTGAAACAAACTGTCATTTCAAACAACCTGAACTTACCATTACTTTCCATCCAAATACTTGGACACAAGTTATGACACAAGTGGCACAGGCAGCCTCTGTGTATGGAACATGGCAGACCAGAGAGAGGACAGACAGAAGTGGCAGACAGGGCAGGAAGCAGAATGCAAAGCAGCAAACTGGGCAAGGAGCAGGAAAATAAGTAGAAAGCAGAGCAGCAGATCAGATAGGAAGAGGACTGGAGTGGTGAGGGTTCATGGTGAATTTGTGACATCTGCCAAAAAGGCTGGCCCCCACTGAATTGTGAGATGGGAAAGGACTGAAGTTTTAAATCTATTCTTTAATGAGATTATCAGAAACATAAAAATTAGGATTTAAGGAATAAAAAGGAATCAAAATATCTATAGTTGCATCAATATATAGTTGTCATAAAAATGTAATTACAAGCCATTTGTATGTTGACTATACAAATTGTTGTGTTGGCAACTCACATTAGAATCATACCGTCTTTTAAACAGACAGTTTATTATGAGGTGAATAGCAAGCAACCCTATTTGTAACTAAAGCATATAAATGATGTAGTATGAATAATGCAAACCTGACTTATTTTTCACAGCCCCAAAATTATAGCTTATGTAACAATTGACAAAATAAAGTCCAAAGAGGCTGGACTATATAAATAGAAAAATTCCTGCAACAGGTATTTATTCCATTATTAACGTCATAAACTTGTTCAAATAAGAAATACTGTTCGAAGTAAGCATACACTTCATTTTAGTGCATTAAATTAAATCAGTTCAGTATAACACCATGAAGATTATTATTTAATCAAAAAGTCTTATGTATACTTTATCTGCTTTGACAACATTCTGTTAAGTATTTATTGAATTTAAGATATCCTACCTATATATAACTACATAAAAAGACAGTATATTCATTTTACAGCTTTATTCTTTAAGCTGGTTTGACAGATTGATAATATCCATTATTATTGGTTTACTCCTTTAATGAATACATGCTTATATTGTTTGAAGAGTTCTACTCTGTAAGGAATAATGTACTGTAAATATTATTTCTAAGAAGTGTAAATTTGTATCAGGAGTAGATTTGCATGGACCTCCCCATACCTCAAATGGCTACATACCACCTATTATTAAACTTCAGGTTTTACCAAATCTTCTACTAGACGCATAGAGTTAAGCATGAGGTTTTGGCAGTGATACAGGCAGTGATGAAAAACACATGGGTAGTAACAAGTCTTCTTAATATCTTTCTTCAGTACTAAAATGGGCTAATCTGTTAGAAGCAGTTTACTCAAGTATCACCCAAGGTGCCAGGAGGATCAGGAACATTTAGAGTGAAATTTTTCCTTGTCAAAAAGCTAACCTTTTCACAGCACTCAAATTCTTTAATATTTTCTTTGTAATTAAACAAAACTGGAAATAAATTTTTCAGGTGGATGATCACACTGGTTTGGGAAGGACCATCAAATTTACAAGGTATGTTACTTCTGCATGTCTATTCACATTTAAACAGCAATACAGGATTAAGCAACAGATTTTTAATCACTATATGCAAACTAATACTGTAAAGCAAATAAATGGTTGGCAGTATTAAATTCTTCAAAAATGTTTTTTGAAAATGTACTTTGCAGTTGCAATATTTTTTCTTTTATTAGAATTATAACAAAAAACAGAGCAGCAGTAATAGTGCTCTAGCTAGATTACCAGTATTAACCAACTCCGAAAAATAAGATACATGATCTACTGTATTTTGTCATATTTTACTTTTGAACATCTAAAAAGCCATCATATAAACAGATTCTTCAAAGTTACTTTACTCCATGTATCTCTGTTTTATAAGGAACAGAGTAATTATGATTATAAGACTTAAAAAAATTAAAATGGTTTAGTTTACCTGGATTTTTAAAAAATCTGAAAAGAAAGAGCAGTTATTAAAGTAAAAACAACGTGAGTGCTCATATATTTATATTCCTCTAATTTACAAAGTTCAAATAATATGGCTATTACAATAAATAAATACATACATACATAAAAGAAAGGAATATATCAGCTGTTTTTATTTAAGAAGATATTTCTCATAATTATTGTTTAATATACATTTGAGAATTTGCTAGTTCCTACAATATTCTTATTGCCAAAATGATTTCAATTTATTTATCTTAGGCATTAAGCCAAATGAATCAACAGACAAAAAGTTAAGTATAAACCCATTTACTTCTGGATGGAACAATGACCAATAGAGGCAAAACTATTTTTAAATACAGTATTCACAACAACTATGATCTTGCCTTTCTTTGGACAAAAGCTGCGTACAAACTAATGATATGTGATACTAATGAACACAAAGATTTGCCCTGTCTCTCTTCAAAGAAAATCTGTTTCATAGTTGACTCAGTTAAATATTTTGTTCTGGGAAAAAATAGTTTAGGAAACTTGCTTCCCTTCAAGCTACTGGTAACAGCAGCTCCTTCTAAATAAGGCTCTTAAAAAGACATAGTCTTAACAGTCTTGCTGTTAACTCATTCAATGTCATGACTTACAAGTTGCAAGAGCCTTCAGGGCTAGATGGCAGTTGCAGAAATCTACGCATTTTGTTTTGGACATACACACATATCTCAAAACAATTAATTTTTATGCCTCTGATAATCTAGTTATCTTTCTCTTTTACTATGTTTGCTATTTTAACGTTACTGCACAACTGTAACAAAAAAAATTCTGATTTGAGTTCTCATTAAGAGAAACTCCCTAACCTTTAAATCATACCAATTTATTGGGCAGTATATAGCTTAATTTATGTAAACATCAGGGCTGCACCAATACAGATTTCTGAGGCCAATACTGATATCCGATTTTTAAGGAGGCATATTGGCCGATACCAAACCAATTTCCGATATAGCGTGGAGAGCTGCATCTAGCTGGTAAGTCCATTGCAGTGGAAGGGGAGGGGGGCACATCAATCCCTCCACTCCCCGCAATGAGGCAAGGGGCAGGGGAAGGGGTGGGCGTAGGTGCTGCCCAGCTAGGGTGGGGTGAGGCGCGGGATGGAGACATGGCTCAACGGTGGGGAGGGGGGCAGCTCCCACTGATGCTTGCACCCCAGGAGTGCTTGGGGGTGGGCAGTGCCCCCGGATATGCGTGGGGCAAGCTAAAGCTGTCGGCTGTAGCCTGGCTCTTCTTGCCAGGGGCTGGGCTCAGAGCAGGGGCTATGGAGGGGGCTGCAGCCACCTGAAATTGTGCCGTAGCTCCCTTCCAGCGTACCGCTGCATGCCCAGTGCAGCCCTGGCTTTTCTTTGTTCAACCCCTGCCTCCCCCCACATGGGGCAGAGGATGAAGACACGGCTTATGGGGGGGCGGCTTCCTCCCAGTGCTGCCACCACCATGCCACGTACAGCCCTGGCTCTTCCTGGCTTAAACCTCACCTCCCCCCAACACACTGGGAAGAGCCAGGCATGTGGCAGCAGCGCTGAGAGGCAGCTACGGCAAAATCTGGAGTGGTTGCAGCCCCCTCCGTAGGCCCCGCTCTGCAGGACCAGGGACTGAAGGCAAAAGGTGTGCACGAAGAGTGGTTATTCCTTAAGGACACAATCCTTGAAGCACAAAGGAAGTCCATTCCCATGTGGAGTAAAGGTAACCATGCTCCTTCCCTCCCTCCTCCCCTTCCACCACAACAAACTTACCAGCTGGAGGCATCTCTCGCTGGCTGAGCGCTGTGCTGCAGCTGCAGGCATGCACTGGCATTTATTGACCAAATTATCGGCCCCATTGGGCCAATTTCCAATACAGCCAATTTTCTTTATAATCGGTACTGATCCGACATCAGACCGATGTATTGGTGCAGCTGTAGTAAACATTTATACATAAGTAATACTCTTACATTATAAACACTGAAAAGTTCATCTCACGTATGTTGTTTGACTATCTAAGGTTTGGGTTGTAACAGACACCTCTTTTTATAGCAAAGCACAGGGATTAACTGGATCTCAAATAGATTTTACATACGCAAAATGTCTTCTTGAGCCCTAAAGCGTGCATAAAAAAACATAAAAAAATGCAACATCCCTAAATGTCTTGCACTCAGCCAACTCACACAATCATGCCTCCTGCAGCATATGCTACACATGCATTGTAGGAGGCCTGATTATGGGATTGAGTATCAGACACTCACACCATACTGCTCGTGGAGAGGAAACTCCTGATGGCAGTCCTGGGTTCCCCCCACACCGGCTCCTGCAACTGGGGTAGCTCCCAGCAGGTGCAGGGTTCCATGTGCTCCCCCAGTGGGAGCCTTCTGACGAGGGTCCAGCTGGCGCAGCGCATGGAACCCATGGCCCTACTGTAAGCCTCATCAGCTGTGGGGCTGGCAGCAGGTGATGCCCTCACTTGATGGGGCTCGTAGCCACAAGGGAGCACGTGGCCACACATTCAATTAATGTTGATAAGCACAAGCCACAAATTTATTATGCATTTTTAAAAATAAATTTGTGGCTTATCGCTACTTTTATCATGCTGTTACTTGTCTCAACTGGGTCACAACTTAAAGCATGATTAACTGAATACCGTAATTACTTGAATACAAGATGACCTACCAATAATTGGATTCTATATATGGAAAATGTATACATTTGTTATAATTTTCCAGGTATGGAATCTAATTATTGCAGGTTTGCCTTGAATTTGTCCCATTCCAACTGCTACAGCAGGGAAAACAAATCTGGTGCATCAGGTAGCCCCCTGGTTCTCTGCCTGCACCCCCCCCTTGCCCAACTTTTTTCCCCAGCAGCCTCTCTCCCCCTTCCTTACTGTCAGACCTTACCTATCCTGAACAGGTGCAAGTGAGTGGCACATTTGAAAACACTCTCCTTGAAATAAACATCTTATAGGGATTTGCCTAAGACAAATTATTACAAATACCCATAGACTTAGTTCATCCAGAATTGATGCAGTTTACCTACTTTGAAACTACAGCAGGTTTTAGCACACATACTCCATAAGCACACTTTTAAGCAGCACTTTTGTACCTACTTATACATAATACAAACTGTGCATGATATTAATCTAAAGCCAAAAATCTCATGACTTACCATATGGTTCACTGGGCTGGGACCCAGAAGTAAAAAGTATTTCAAGTCATAATGACCCCACAGCTTAGCAGTACTCACTATGTGTGTACTGTATACTCCAGATACACGACCCCCACAAAGGATCCATGTGTTAACCCCCATCTCATGACTGAAATTGTTACAAGTCCAGGGATTCTCTAAAAATTTATATTCAGATGAGGCGCAGGGGAACATGGCCCAGGAGGTCCTCATGGAGGGTGGGGCTACACTACTCATATGCACCAGGCTGGGACAGGGGGCTACAGAGGGATTCTGGGTGAACTGTGTGGGGCCCTGTTCAGTGATGTTTGCCAGACATTTAAGGCTGGTGAAGAAACAGGAATCACTGGAAATGGGAAAGAAAGGCACAGCTCTATGAGAGCGAAAAGTCAGTGCTAAGGGGGGACTGCACACAATGGGCACAAGCATATGTCTTATTCAGACAGCGCTGCATTAACCTACCCTTGTGGTGTTCCCATCAGTATATTTGCCCAATACAGGCTATGTGTCTTATAGTCATGCTCAGTGTTGGCTGCATTTAATTAACTTCATAGGTGCTTCCCACTACTGAACACGTGCTGCTTTTGACAGCAGTTTAATGATAGGCAATAGATTTAATGAGCAGGGATCCTGGTTTTCTGTTTAAAAATCACACATTCTCTGATAAAAATCTCAACTTTTCAGACTAAAAACACCCCAAAATCCATGTTTTTCCGTGATTAAAATGAAACACCACTACTATATATGTAGGTACCAGTTGAGCACAATATTTTATTGATATATTTACACTTTTATAGTGATTTGGAAGCCTACCAGTGCCTGCAACTGTTGACATTTGATTTTGGGTATTTTAACATGGAAAATCAGAGCTTCTCCTGCCCCATTTGCTCACCAGGACATGGGTACAGCTGCAGGTGCCCCCCCCCCCGCTTTGTGGTGCTGAGAAGCCCTAATATGTCAGGGCCTGTCCGTGCCAGTGCCCCTCACTCCCAACCCATAGCCCCCCACCCCCTGCTGCTGCCCATCACTCCCCACCCACAGCCCCTGGACCCTGCCAGTACCCT